AGCTCTTCCCCAGTCGCATTTTGAGTATCTTCCGACCTGAGGGCTCATTTTCTGGCACTATATCTGACAGTGTTTCTCTGCTATTCGTAAGGTTCTCAGAGACTGAAGATTTGGAAGTAGTTCGTCACTCTTTCTCCCTTGTCTGTGTTCGTCTATAAGCTCATCTGAAACCTGTCCACCATGGGTGACCCTGCTGGTTATTTTAAATACTGGTGGCAGAGCCCTCAGAATCATAGCAGCTCACAAAGCCACCACAGTGTGACAAACTCCCTAGCCCTCGGGATCTGCAGAGTCTGTTGGCCAGTTGTCCTGTCTGCTAGAAATGCGTGTCACCCAACATCACATGGATAACGGGGTGGTTCTGTCATGCTCATTCTGACCAGTGCAGGGCAGACACAGACTTGAGTCTGGACACACAAGAGGGCATTGGACGGGCTTGCAGGCCCCAGCCTCTGTGGAAACCCATCTGTGCCCCATCATACCGGACACTGGTGAGATTTTTCACTCGTGTTCGTACTTGGCTCTCCTTCTCAAGACTGATTTCAGTGTCTCCTCTCTTCCTGTGCCGGTGGTGGCTGCGCCTCAAGTTTCCAGACACACGGCCATGTGCACAGGCTGCCTTACGTCGCTGTCTCTCCCCTCCTGCCCCGTGTTGGGGAGTGTGTGTGCTTACCTCACAGAGTGGGCCCCAGTAGGCATTCTCACGCTTGCTTGCAGTGAAACAAGCCCCGTGTGGCCTCTTACAGCACGTGTGTGTCAGGTGATCCATCTTCGCTTCTGAGCTGAGGTCGTTCACTTGCCTGCTGATGTAGGCACGCAGAGCTCAGCACGGTCGGCTAGGCTGGGTGCCTCTTTGTCTCGGTTGCTGTGTTAATGTAGTGACTGTGTCCCTGTTACAGCTGCCGGGTAGATCTGCGGAGACCAGAGGAGCTATGCCATCCAGCCCCACAGACCCCAGTGGTGGGAAAGCTGGGCAACCCTCTGAGGTGGACAGCAAACCACCCAGTGAAGTGGGCGACGCCGGCGTAGTCCCCGGAATGGAGGATGTGGAGAACGATGGCAAAAAGAGGGATGGCGTGTGCGGGTAAGGACTGGGCGTGTGGGGTCCCCCTGGCTCCTCAGAGTGACCGTGTCCCCGTCCTGCCCCTCTGGCCAGATTGGGCTGAGGACTGAGTGGAGCAGGTGCTTTTGGAGTTTGAAACATGCCCCGGCTGGGATTTTTCTTCCTATTCTAGCCCTCCTCCTTCAAAGAAAATGAAGTTGTTTGGATTTAAGGAAGACCCGTTTGTGTTCATTCCTGAAGACGACCCATTGTTCCCACCGATCCAGTAAGCGTTAACTCAGCCTTTCCACGCTCCTCTTAAAGATGCGACGGGCAGTTGAAGCGTGCCCCGGCTGTTGGTAACCGGGCTTCCTTCTGGGATTAGTGGGCGCTCTCTGGCTAGGTGCAGCCCCTCCCTTGGTGTAGGCCGTCAGCTGCCCCCAGCCAGGTCATCCCTGAGGTGGGCCTATGGACGCAGAGGAAGTGGGGCCAGGGGGCTGGGGAGGCATTCCACAGGTAGAATTCTGAGGTCTGGTCTGTCTGTCCCTTTACTGGTGACATATATCTGTGGACATCCCCAGTAAGGAGTCTTGGGAATGGTGTGGGGTCCCAGAGGTGGGATCAGCACAGGAGGCTTCAGGTGAGGCTGGGTGGCGAGGGCGTGGTCATGGTGATGCACTCCGACCCCCCCCAGTGTCAGTGGTCTGGAGTCTGGGGGCAACCAGGACCCCCGCAGTCTGAGGTGGCACGTGCAGACGACGGCGCTGTCTTGTCTGCAGGAAGTTTTACGCCCTGGACTCCTCGTTCCCCAAGCAGAACTTGCTGACACGCACGACGGAGGGGAAGAAGAGGCAACTGTACATGGTGTCCAAGGAGCTCCGGAACGTGCTGCTGAACAACAGCGAGAAGATGAAGGTCATCAACACGGGCATCAAAGTGCTTTGTCGCAGCAACGGCAGCGAGGAGTTGGACTGCGCCTTCCGGCTCGCCCAGGAGGTAGGACTAGGCCATTCCCACGTTACAGGTGTAGGAACCCTTAGACTGGAGCAGGACACGGCCCCCACTGCGCCCCCACCTTAGTCGGGACGTGGGCACTAGAACGGGGGGCTGTGTGCTGGTCCCCAGTTCCCCGTCTGTTGGAGGGCCTTCCTGTCTGGCCCGGGGTGCAGCGCCTGGCGCTGGGTGACTGTGGCGTGCTGGCCCCTTCTCCACAGGGAATCTACACGCTGTACCCATTTATCAAGTCGAGGATCGTCACGGTGTCCATGGAGGACGTGAAAACCCTGTTAACCCAGGGAAACCCGTTTTTCAGAAAACTGAGCAGTGAGACGTACAGCCAAGCCAAGGACATGGGTAAGCGTTGGGGGTTGCTTTTCTCTGTCGTGTGTCTCAGTACAGTGTTACTTTCCTGTGATAGACCTGCACGGTGAACCACAAGGTTGATGGTTCAAACCCACCAGCTGCTCCTATGAAACTGGGGTCACTATGAGTCAAGCCACATCTATAAAATTGGTGTACAGAGGAGCCCTAGTGGTGATGTGGGTTAGGTGCTGGGCCTGCTATCCACAAGGTCAGCATCTCAAACCCACTGTCCGCTTTGGGGGCAAGATGAGGCTGTCTGCTCCTGGCCCGATTTGCAGTATCGCAATTCCTGTGTGAGGTGTCATGGGTGGGAATCAGTGATGGCAGCGGGTGCGGGGTTGTAGAGGTAGGTGTACAAGCGTCCTGGATTGGGCCTTAGCGGTCTTAAGGGTCAAAGCATACTTGGGGAGCCCTGGTGTGGCACTGTAGGATAAACACTGGACTGCAGGACTTAGTTGAACCGTGAGATCAGCACTTCAGATAGCAGTTGGAATCGACTCAGTTCAAGGAAAGATGGGTCCCATTCCGTGGCAGTCGGCTTCCCTACAGGTTACAAAGTGCCGTCAACTTGATTGGGACCCACCCATACGAGGCCCACTGTGGTGTGTCTGAGGAGTGGCTGGCTGGTGGGTTTGAACCACCACCCTTGTTGTTAGCAGGCTAGTGCTTACTGTAGAGCATCACACCAGGAGTCCTCTGCTTAGATTACAGCCACAGAAGCCCTGCGGCCACCTGTAGTCACCACGAGCTGGAATTGGCTCGGCGGCAGTCTGTCTGCGTCTGTACTTCTCCGCTAGTCCCACTGTGCTGTAGACAGTGCATGGGCTTAATGCCAACCCGGAAGTGCCTTGGACGATAGGTCTGGCAAGCTGTGTCCCAAAACCGAGTAGGCGGCAGCCCTCGGGGGCACGCTTCTACCCTGATACCCGGAGTGGCCAGGAGTCGGGATTGATTCCACAGCACTGTTTGGTTTGGTTTTACTTCCTGGGCCCTGGTGGAGTCAGGATAGTACTGGGTACCCTGGGTGGGTCTGGGCTGGTGTCCATCCGTGGGCCTGGCTGCTCTGGCCAGCCTGACCTGAGGACCATGGCTCTGCTGTTCGCCTGCCCTGCTGCCTCCACCTCAGAACCTTCCCTGGGAGGAGGAAGGCCCTTTGCCGAGGAGTTCCCCATCCTACTTTATGTTTCTCTACTGATTGCTCGGGGTTCTGGCTCAGTCTGAAGCCAGCCACATAAGTGTCCTGGTGTGGCACTATAGAAAAAGCCCTGAGCCACAAGGTCAGTGGGTCAAACCCACCAGCCCCTCCCAGGAAACCATGTACACAGGGTCGCTATGGACCGGTGCCTGCAGCTCTGTAATCATGTGTCTTCCTTGTGTTTAAAGTGAGACAAGAACCCTGATGTACAATAGAGGGTATGTGACAGGATTGTTGATAAGTGCTGTTGAGTCAGTTCCGACCCATAGCAATCCTGTATAGGGTTTCCGAGGAGCAGCTGGTGAGCTTGAACCGCCAACCTGGCAGTTCAAATGGCTTTGTTGTCTAGCGTGTTAACCCACAGCACCATACCAGGAACCTTTTTGTTCTCTTTGAATTCCATATTCCAGATGACTGTGTTACAATTTTTTACAATACTTCAGTGTTGCCTTTTCTCGGAGCTGGAGTTAGATGCTTAATAATGAATTCAGAGACTCACCTTAAATCCTGGTTTAATTTTGGATTGGTCCTCCTGACTGCATCCCTGGGCCTTCTGCTTGCTGCTGGCCTCATGTTGAGCAGGCCTCTTCTCTGTCCAGGGCCAAGGATGACGATTGTTTTTATTCCTCAAAATATTTAACCAGTGCTGGGCCTCCATACATGCTCAGCAAATAAGTCACATCCGTAATGGGACGCTTGGCAAACCCTGTTTCTCTTCCAGTGAAAGGAAGCATCGTCCTGAAGTATGAACCGGACTCTGAGTGAGTGAGCATGCATTTTGGGTGGGGTGGACCAAACACTGGGACACTGGGACACTTAGTGTGTGGGACTGGTGTCCTGTGGGGGGTTTGGTGTGGGTGAGCACACGTCCTGAGTGGGGTGGTGGATGCTCTGTGTGAGGTGGGCAGGGACTCTGAGGCAGATCGTGTATAACGGTCTGAATTACAGGGTCCTGGACTAGTTAGATCTGAGGTAGCCCTGCAGCATCGTGAGCATAAGCTCGGACTACGTGCACCTTTACTGAGCGAACAGTGTGTAGGTCTTAACTTGGCATACTTGAGGTTCCACATTTTGTCTGGCACAGTAAACATGCAGGTCAGGGCTTCTTGTCATCTTTCATCTGTAGCATTGGTGAGCTGGTGGTAGTCACACTTGAGCATTGGCGTGTGGGGTCATTGGTCATCGAATCCTCACAGCAGCCCATTTAATTTGTAGGAAACCAGGGACCCTGCAGTGCCCCATTGTCATGTGTGGATGGCGCGGGAAGGCCTCGTTCCGTACCTTTGTGCCCAAGAATGAGCGGCTGCATTACCTCAGGATGATGGGCATCGAGGTGGTGGGCGAGAAGAAGGAAGAAGGGGTGATCCTGACCAAGGACAGTGCCACTGGCCCTGAGCCAGCAGAGACTGAGGTGCAGCCAGAAGAGGCTGGTGGTACAGAGGGGGCAGCGGGCAGTGACGCAGCTGAGGACGGCCTGCCACAGTGAGGAGGCTGGGTCCCCCTGACAGCGCAGGTTGGTCAGGGACGGTGTTACCACGCTGCATCAGTGAGGGGCCCAGGGACAGCGCGGCAGCAGTGCCTGGTGGCTCGGACCACAACCAGGATGGAGGCAGGCGGTTGGTAGCCAGAAGCTAACGGAGCAGGCAGAGCGGCGTTTGGCTCACTGCGAGTCCACGGAGCCCCAGCTGCTCTGAGACCTGTTCCTTTCAGCCGTGCTGGAGTTCCGTGTCTGCTGCTGCTCCTAGACCTTCGCCAGTAAAGTCTTACTTTTACTTCTGAAGACATCAGATGAGTCAAGCCCTTTTATCATGCTGTATTGGTCATAAAGCCCAGTATTTTTAAACCTGTATTATTTATAGAGAGAGTCTATAACCTTATGCACTCTTGGAAAATCGTCCTGTGAGCTTTAACGAAGGCTGTGGCCTGGTCAGGCATGGGGCTCAGATGACGTCGGTGCCTTTTGCAGTCGGGTCCAGTGAGGCCATGTGACCCGTGTTCCTGAGGACAAGGGTTTTTTATGTGCTTTCCCCAAATGGAATGCTTCACAGCTTTTATTTTTAATGTGGGACTTGGGGTCCTTCCTGGGTATTGGTAAATAAAATTATTAATTCTAAGGTGTATCTGTGTTTGACTCGTGTTCTTACTCTTGAGGAAGCAGAAAGATACTTGTTACTGGCTCGATAGAAAAGTTAGAATTAAAGCATGCCAAAACATACCCGCTCAGAGCAACCCTATAGGATGGAGTGGAACTTCCCCGAAGGGCTTCTGAGACTGTCTTTATGGGAGTAGCTGTAGGCTTGAACCATCGACCTTAGTGGTTACCTGTGTAGTGTTTAACCCCCTGCACCACCAAGGCACTGTGCTCGCTGTGGCTAGTAAGATGCTGGTGAAGGCGGCAGTTGGTACAGCAGTCCCTCACGAGACTCCTCCAGCATCCTCCCGGGAGGAAGGCCAGGTACTGAGGGGCCGCACGGCAGCGAGGTGGAGATGCCTGTGTACACAGCTGTGCCTGTGGGTGGGGAGAGCAGCCAGGTGTCAGGATGTGAACAGTAGGCCTTGGAGCGTGTGGGTGAGAACAGGACCATGTCCCTCAGGGACGGCAGTGCCCAGCAGGGCCCAGGTGGTGTACACAGACTCGGGGCTCAGCACCATAGCAGGCAGAGAACGTGTGGCAGCAGTCACCGATGTCACCTTAAGACCAGGTGTGCTGTGTCAGCAGCCCTAGACCACCCTCTGCTTCAGTGGTCTGAGTCTAGTGTGGGTCATCACTCCCAACCCTGACAGGACTGAAAGGATGAGGCATGGGCGAGCCCTGGGGAAATGCAGTGCAGACTTAGGAAATTTCTTCCAGGACATGTAACACTCCACAGAGGAGCCCCTGAGACTCGGGTCCCGGGACACGTACCACTGTCCACAGGGGAGCCCTGAGACTCGGGACCCACCTCACAGCAGTAAGTAAGGGGAGTAGTCCCTGGTCTGCTGTTGGCTCTGCATGCCCACCTTTCACCTCCCTCACTTGGAAGACATGAGGTTCTGTGTTGGAGAAGCAGGGTGCTGAGGGCCCTCAGCAGCCTCAGGAGACCTAGCCGAACCGGGACCAGGCCAAGCACTACCCATACTTCCCTATAGACGCTGAGATGACTGTTTCAAGTCACTGAATTCAGGGCCACTGGTGAGGCAGCAACTGATGCCCGCTGTGGTCTCTGTTACTCAGCATGGGCACGGGCAAGTTCCCAGCACTTTTGGGTGTCTGTCTGCTCACAGGCTACAGAGAGGGGCTGCCCCATAGGGCGTTGTGAGGAGAATGTGTGTGCTCACAGCAGCAGCTGACGGGTATACCGGTTTCTTTTTATGCCGGAATAAAACTTTTGCATCGGGCAGTCAGAGATGCATGGAATGAGCCAAAGTGTTTTGTTCCGCTTTCGGCCCCCGTGGTAGTCCGCAGTACCAGCAATAGCTCATGCTGACACCTGGACCAAATCACACTCACATCAGATGGGATGGGGTTATCTTGTGACGGCTTGTCTCATGTCTTCGGTGGCAGAGCAGTACAGGAGACGTTTGTAGCAGGAAACTTAGAAATGAGTAAGTGGCGGTTCAAATCCACCGGTCGCTCTGCAGGAGAAAGATGAGGCTTTCTGCTCCCGTAAAGATTTACAGCCTTGGAAACCCAATACAAGGTGGCTATGAGTCAGAACCAACTCCACGGCACATAACCAGCACCACACCTCACTATGGGCTGCAAGAAGAACAAAGCAATCAGTCTTAGGAGAAATAGAACCAGAGTACTCCTGAGAACCAAGGATGGCGAGGTGTCAGCTCGCATACTTTTAAGGCATGGTCTTGTGCAGCAGATTTGCGTAAAAAACTACATCGTTGGATTTCTTGACTGCTGCTTCCATGAGTGTTGATGGTTTATCTGAGCAAAATGAAGTCTTTGACAACTTCAGTCTTTCTCCATTTACCTTGATGTCATTTATTGGTCCAGTGGTGAGGATTTTTGTTTTCTTTACATTGAGGTGCAACCCGTACTGGAGGCTGTGGTCTTTGATCTTTATCAGTAAATATTTTAAATCCTCTTTGCTTTCAACAAGCAAGAATGTATCATCTGTTAATTGAATTGTTAGGTCTTAACTGACCTTCCTCCAATCCTAATGCCATATACTTCTTCATATAATCCAGCTTTTTGAATTACGTTGTTGTTAAGTGCCTTCGAGTCAGTACCTACTCAAAGCAACCTTGTATACGGTTTCCAAGGAGCGGTTGGTGATCCTGAACCACTGGCCTTGCGTTTCAAAGTGATCTTGGAGTCCAGCACATTAGCCCCACAGTACCACACTGGAACACAGGCCTGACACACACCTATCCTGATTTAAAACTACTTGATGTTCCCTTGTCTTGCTTGAACAACTGCCTCTTGGTCTATGTATGTGTAGGTTCCTCATGAACACAATGAAGTGTTCTGGAATACTCATTCTCTGCTACGCTGTCCAGAGCTTGTCATGATCCACACAATCGAAAGCCTTTGCCTAGTCAGTAAAGCATAGGTAAACATCCTTCTGGTATTCTCTGCTTCAACCAAGATCCATCGGATGTCAGCAAAGATATCCCTCGTTCCACGGCCTCGTTTGAAACCAGCTTGAACCTCTGACAGTTCCTTCAGTGCACAGTTGCAGCCATTTTTGAATTAGCTTTAGCAAAATTTTACTTTAATGTGATATTAATGATATTGTCTGATGATTTCTGCATTCTGTTGGGTCACCTCTCTTCCACACCATTGGCCGTCATCTAAGATGGCTGTCACCATTGTCATTATGTGCCGTAGAGTTGGTTCCAACTCATAACAACCCTGTATAAGGTTTCTGAGGTTGTAAATCTTTACAGGAGCAGAAAGCCTCATCTTTCTCCTGCGGAGCCGCGCATAAGGATGAGAACAAATACAGATTTCCTCTAGCCAGTTGGCCAGATAGCTGTCTTCCAAATTTCTTGGCAGAGATTGAGTGCCTCCAGTGACACATCAGTTTGTTGAAAGATTTCAATTTGTATCCCATCAATTCCTGGTGCCTTGTTCTTTGCCAATGCCTTCAATGCACTTTGGACTTCTTCCTTCAGGATCATTGGCTGTTGATCATATGCTACCTCTAGAAATGGTTCAACAATGACTATTTCTTTTTGGTTAGTGATTCCGTGTATTCCTTCCATCTTCTTTTTTTTAAATGTTTTACTGTGAATTATGTGATAGCTTACATGGAAGAACATTAGCTTTACGTTCATCCTATTGTATATAGTTTCACTGCCATGGTTACAATCCCCTCCATGCATCATCACCCAACCAAAGGGTATACCCTGCAAGCCTGCTCCCTGGTCGTCAGCACAGAGCCCCTCTCCTTCTCTGGGTCTAGAGTCCCCAGCTGCTCCAAATCTCCACGTCATCGTCTCTGCCTCCATCTCTGGCGTCACTGCTTCTCTGGGTAGGGTCCTGCTCTCTGCTCTTCTACCTTGATGGCCCCAGGTACCTCTGCTCCTAGACTGAAATGTCAATCACTGCTCTCCTTTTGCTACAAAACGTCTACCTTTACATTTCCAACCCTCACAGTCAGTCCTGATGGCAATTATTCGCTATTTTACTACAAGAGACCTATCCCCATCTCCTTTACATCAGCCCCGCCCAGAGAGATTGGATACTACTCAGTGGAGAGTCTACCTTCCTCCACACCCTCTGCTCACTCTTGTAAGCCAGTCACTTCTTGCCTTTGCAGACCACCTCCCCCCCCAACACCATTTTGGGTACCTAATGTCCAAGTTGCCCATCCCTGTCTACCCTGTGTATGGAGGGGGTGGGAATGATCCTCACTGTACAGATTTGTTCCAGCTTTTGAGCTACTACATCCATAGGTGAAGGTCAAGTCCATCAAATTGTATCAGGTTACTCTTTATTTCCTTTCTTCTTCTAGTTGAGTTCTGATCATCCAGCCATTGAAGCCA